ACACCCATTCTCAATATAAGGGCTCAAATGATGTCGCCTCATTTTCATTTAAAAGAAATACCACTGATGTAATTTTTAAATCAACATTATAAATAGTCATATAACAATGAATAAGAATTCATATAATTATCGATCTGAAAGGGTATTTAAGGAGTTCCAAATTCAAATATAGTAGCCTATTTGAAATGTACGTTACTGTCGCCGAGGCAAATATTATTCTGAATCCCCTCTGTGTAATATATAGTTTTGATTCTCAAGTAAAAATTTTCTGATAAGTTAAACCTTGTATCATATATATTTCTTTTCATAACAATAAATACATTTTCTTTGTGATAATAAATAATTTTTATTGTGCAATGTCCCTGTCGCTTAATTCCATTTCAACCACATTACAAGCAAACACAAAGATTATACACCTGATAGTTTTGTTCTCCTTTATTTATTGATGGGCTAAATTTGAAATTTCAAAGGATTAATTACTCCTACTTAGATAATGTAACATGAAATTGAACAACTTGAGCAACTTTTATAAATATGTTTACGGAATGAAAGACATTTTCAATCGTAGAGATAAGAAAGAAATGTACGTTACCTATATTCTTCCATTAAGAATACATATTAAGTAGAAAATATGAGACGACTCTGAATAAGCAACCCCTTGTATCCTCTAAACTGGCAAAGACGTTTTGCTTAACACAATTAAAAATTATTTTTTACATGAAAAGCGATCATTTGAAATGTACGTGACTGAAATGTACGTTACCATGAAATTCGAATTAAGTGAATCTCGCACGAATTTTCATGTATTCTAAAACTTTCACACACTCGAATGTGTACACAAAGGAAAGTTTCAAAGGTTGGAGGTCGGCTAGTTCCCAAAATTAATGAAAAGAAACGTCTCTGCTGAGGAAAAAAATATATTAAGGTCAATTATTATGTTATATAATTCTGATACCTGGTATATATTTCTGAATACGAAACCTGTATGATGCATTTCTTATGATATGCAGGTTCAAATAGTATCAATATATTGCGCGTCTAACGTATGCTTGTGGAAGAGAATTGATTTTTATATTTGAAATGTACGTTACGTATGGTAACGTACATTTTATGTATTTCTAACTGACAATTTTTTTTAATTTAGTCAATGAATTGCGTTTACACGAGCGAAACAAAATTATCGTTACAATCCATTTGACAACTGGCCACATCTAAATGCACCCCAATGCTCGTAAATGTTTTAAACTGTTACCACATGCTTGAAAATTTATTTCTAAGTGTCTTAAATTCATCTTTGGCAACCTTTTTGCAGTTTGTTTACTTTTCATGTGCGACTTTTCGTCAATATTAATTGAATTGTTGTTGATAATTTAAAACAAGGTATGCATAGGCTTATAATTGGTAAAAAAAAAAAAAAACAAAACAAAAAAGAAAAGAAAAAGAAACAAAACAAATAAACCCAAAACACAAGACGGTCACGTACATTTCAAATACTGAATATTCAGTTTTGTTTGAATCATTGCATTTTGGGTTATATTTTTCCAGATCTGCTGAAAAGCACGTATGTTTGTGTTTTGAAAAACGATGTTGCAACATACTAAATGAAATTGTTAACAAGACTGTCAATGGATATATTCGGAATAGATTTATGTTAAGTTTCAATGGCCAAACACGAGCATTTGTTAGATCATAGCAAAATACATCTGACTCATATATTTTTTTGTCTGTAACCTTGCACACAGTTAGAAGTAACTAGGCTACGACCGGTGTCAATTTCAGCGAAACAGCACAAAAGAATGGTTATGAAATGAGGTGGAGGGGACTCCCCAATAATATGTGAAATGAACGTTACCGAAGTGACGTGACATTCATGTAGTTGATGACAATAACCTCGTTTGTTACATTATGATTTCTTATATTACTGCGTTAAAACGCTTCATTGATATGATTTTTATGTCAATAATTGCTTTTTTTTTCAATATTTTCTTATTACTAATTTACATATTATTACAAGCTTGAAATGTACGTTACCTACTCATATTCTGAGGCAATCGTGTCTTTATAGTGGTGATTGTGACATATAACACAATGTGATTACATAGAGAATCTTTTTTGGAATAAACTGAAACAAAACGATGAATTATTAGATGAATTTTAGATGAATTTTAAGCTTTGTATTAAACAGAAATATATCTTGAAATGTACGTTACATTTACATAGTTTTCTAAATCGGCATGGATATATGTTAAAAAAGACAGTAACTACAAAATAGAATTTTACTACATGTACATGTTAGGTTCCAGTATCTATTAAAAATGACAAGATTCCAAACTGATCGCTCTTAACAAAACAGAGAGAAGAATTTAAAGCATATATTTAAAAAATGTTTTTACACATCTGGATCAAAAAGTAACCTTTGTTTTTTGAAAGGAAAAATCAAACGCACGTTCGTATGCCGAGAAAATATGTTGCTGACAGAGTTGGTAGGATGTGCTGGTGTTAAGATGAGATATTCCAATTGTGATTTTAATGACTACATTTTTTTTGACATATTTTTTTGGACATTGAAGAAAGAGTAACGTACATTTCAAGCTACATTTCTGAATAAAATTACCCTCTACTTTATCGTCTTGTCATTATTTCATGTATTATAATTTGATGAAAAAAATCTGGAAACAAAATCTTCAGATACTTTCTTTTAAAGGTAATTGATAGAAAAATTGTTATCTTGAACTTCATTTTTTAAAAAATCAGAGAGGCATTTGTGCCCTTATATTGAGAATGGGTGTCAAATGCATGAATGACAGTTCCTTGACCGGAAGTCCAAGGGTTACTACACAACACAAAGTTATAGAAAATTCGACTTCAGTATCTGAAAAACAGGCATTTAAAAATGCCCAAGAATATTTGTTTCGCTCAGATTAAGACATCCATAAACCTATTGCATGGTAGAAATCGGGCTGCATTTGTTGTACATGGCGGACTAGCACGTATAATTGATTTTATTGTGTTGGAAAATAACCAGGGGGTCGTAACATAAAGGGAACTTAAGTATGTCTTATCTATCTTATCTACATATTTAGAAGAAATAGATTTAAAAATCTCGACGTTAAAACATTTCTTTGTTCATATTATGCATTTAAAAACAACAATTTACCAAATGAATGTAAAATAGTGATAAATGAGTTCTAGCTTTTTGCGCGGGGGGGGGGGGTGGGAGTGGGGTTTGAAAACAGATTTATTAAACACTAATTCTAGTATCAGTCTTGACATGGCATATATGTACATGCTAAAAAAAATTTTGAAATATTAATTAAATTATATAATTTATGTTACTTACTATCTGTATAATTTGGAAAATAAATTGTGAATTATTATGTTGGCTGTGACATTGTGAGATAAAATAGACTTTAAAGACAGAGATATTGTTGGTACGGTAAATTAGAAAATGAATTTTCTCAGATTTATTTCATGTAGGTCTATAGATAAACGTTCGATTTATCGTGCCACATGTCCGCGACTATGGCAAAGCGAGTGAACATTTTTCAAAACAAAAGAGTGACAACAAAAGGTAACTGAAAACATCGCAGTCTAGAGTGATAAACAAAAGCCATGTTTTTACAATGAATCACTATTATAATTTATAATTTTCAAATATTAAGAATAATTTTTAATTGTATTTTTACTACGAAATCTAATCCAACCTAACAAAAACCGATAGGTTATTACGAACATCAACTTTTATGCATGTGTATACTTAAAAATGTAACTGATTAATTTTTTAAGCAATATATGTAAATTACGTGAAAAACTAGGGTTATGTATGAAAAATAAAGTGAACTTAAGTTTGACTTGGTTAAGACCTTGCTAAGTTCGTTTTATGTTACGGTTTAAGACATACTTAAGTTGTACCTAGGCATGTCCTAAGATTGGGCCTAAAACATACTTAAGACCCTACTTAAGTCAAAAACTTAGAAAGCTTTATGTTACGAGCCCCAGATGTTGATATGCGATTAAAAATGATATGTAAATATGGTTACAATATATCCTTGAATTCCATAAAGTATTCATTCAAAATATAATCAAGGCCATGAGATTTTTCTCGTTATATAGCATCAGATATTTCTTTTTCAGTGATTTCAGTTTCTAATTCTTCAAACACGGTATTTCCTGTGTCCACGGGGGATTCGTTATCCATATTGGTATAGATGTAGATAAATCACTCACTCCGCCGTGGCATACGATCCCACCTCCGATGTTTTGGAGGTTTGTGTTTGCTCTGCTTTCGTCTCCTTTTTTTTAAGGCCTCACTGTTTGCGCGTTTTAAATCCCTGATCCTTTTTTATGAATGATAACTGGGGGAAAGGAAGGAAGAAAGGAAGATCATAATGGGCAAAAATAAAATACTAGTAATAGATAAATGAATTTAAAAAATCAAATTAAATAAATTTATTCAAATTTAATCTTGTTATTCCCGATTTTTTTTTATTCGAAGTCTGCTAATAAACAATTAAAAGCAATTAAATAATTATAATCTCTTAATCAAACAACAGCCTGATTATAATTATCCTTACGTACAGCCACGCAGTTAGACCCCCGCGTAATTAGACACGGTCCTTTGTCCTGTTGTCCACTCAGCGTGACGTCACTAACAGGGCCGGGCATGTCCAGTGTTAGGGATTTACTGGTAAGGAATGGATACCGAGGAACAATAAAGCAACTTTTCAGTAAGTCAGTTTTTACTGAAGTACTATATTGAAAGGGACGCCAAAGACGTAAGTACATGTATTTTAACCATTGATCTTTTTTTCATTTTAAAAAAAAATAAAATTTAAAGTCAAAATTATTTTTACTCTCAAGAAAAGACAAGAAATACTTCCTCTTAAAAACGTATTATATTCTCAATTTCTCTGTTTACATTTAATCTCAAAGAATATAACAAAATATGATAATTATCATCAATTAACAAAGTTAATTTTATAATAATATTTCAGTTAACCATGGGATGCTTTGATTCCTTAGGATATATCTACCTTGTAATTGTTAATGGACTATTTATGGTAAGTATTGCGCCCCCCTAGGTTTCCTTTTCTTGAACATCTTTTTTATTCATTCTGATTAGGCCTTAATTAATCTAAGTCTGCTGCGAATCTCAATAAAATTCCAAGAGACCACAATTTTTAAGTAATGTCATTTTGAATGCGTTGAATCAAGGGCGAGGGACATTTTAGCGAAATTGCCAAAGGTGTGAATGGACAATTTAGCGTTTTATAGGACAATTCAGCGAAAGAAAAGCAGTTACCTGTGGAAAAGATTTTTTAAGAAGTTGAATTTAAATTATTTTTAGAGATTCAATGTGAAGTGAGCAAATATTGACCAATTAATTGAAAAGTAATTGCAAAATCTTACGGAAGCTCCAATGGAACAGATAAAACAAACTCGACTCAAAAATATATTCAGGAAAGTACACGAGAACATGATGGAATTTATCAAAAACTATTAATGAAATAAAGCCTTTTTTCAAACTAGTATTATTTCTCAGTCCATTCTTATTCTCCTGTTGATCAGCTTTGGTTAACGAAAAAGAAGGATGCATAATTATATATATTTTTCAAAATTTTTCGCGAATGTGTTCGCATTCTATTTAAATCTAAAATTTCCTTCAAATCCTTCATAAAAACAGTCTTTTCCCGCTAAAATTGTGAATTTCATTAATTAAATTAAGAAAACGAATTGCAAAAGAAAACCTTATTAATGTGTAATTATGGAGCTTTTAGTAAATTTTACATTTGAGTGTAGAGACAAACCGCCGTCTTATATTTATATTTTGTTACAGTTATTTGCCATTTTGTTGATCGTCCCCGGGGCTGTGATGCTGGCAGACATCACATACGTGAATGAGAAAGTGGTTCCGCTGATGAAAACCATGTCGGTGGGGAGCTTTAACGCGGCGGACCTCGCGGACGGTCTGGCCATTACTATGGTGGTCATAGGGGGTCTCATCCTCGTCATAGCCACCCTGGGGATCTGTGGCGCATGCAAGAAAGCCAAGGGTTGTCTCTGTGTGGTGAGGTCCTTTGTTTAATTAAAAAAAATATTTCTATAGTTAAAATAAAGGCTGATTGTTTGCTTTTGATGATATATTTTAGAAATTTATTTATTTCATCATTCCTATATTTAGTATTCCCTCATTGTGTTGAGTCTGCTGGTTGGTAAAGTCATCGTTGTGGTCCTGTGGATTTTAATGAATGCAGAGGTAAAGTACTTAAAAATTTAATAATTTATACACACTAGGGTATGTTTTGTTTGTTTTGAACATATTTTATTGACAAGCAAAAGGATAAGAAACAAGTTCTAACAACTTACTAGTTCTAGGGTATGTAGGGATATACCTATATTTATTATAGTTTCAGAGTAAACACAGTTGGCATAATCCTGTTATAATCAAAATTATAACCTGTTTACAGATAGATTAGCATTATCGCTTTCAAGACGTAGAAATGTTATTGTTTAAAAGTTTTTAAAAGCTTGAATCGTGTAATAATACAAAATCTAGAGATTTACGTATATCTGATGATGTCTACACAGATTTAATTTGATATAACATTACATGTTGTATTTTCATTGACAGGTACAGTCGTACTTAAAATCTCAGCTGTTGTCCCAGCTAACGAATAAATACTCGGCGGACGATCTAACAACGGACGAGATATCCACAGCATTCAACTTCCTGTTTATGACGGTAATGCAGCATCAATAATAATAAAAAATTTAATAAGAGGTTTACATTAAAACATTCTTTATTCTAAAAATTATGTTTTCAAATATATATGAGCATACATTATGTCTTGTACATATCGATGTATTAACTGTTTGGTATGGACGTTTAAAAAAAAGAATTATTCCTAAGTTGCTGAAACCTAAAATCAATGTTAAAAGAAAAGACAAACCCGTTTTATAAATTATCGTGCATTTTTAGCTGGAGTGCTGCGCAGTAAACGCAGTGACGGGACAAACAAACGATTTTGACAACACCCCTTGGATAGCTGGAGCCGGAAGTAAACACATTCCCATCTTTTGCTGTTCCGGTATAGACGCCAATTCTGCTGGCGCCACCTACACGGCCTGTACAGACAACGTGAGCGCGGGTTACTACAGCATTGTAAGTCTTGGTGATATCTTTCTTCCGATAAATAATTAATATTTGATAGCTTACCATATGGACTGAGTGGGTGCAACTGTCAGATTAAAAATCAACAACCTCTGTCTCTCAGGACGTTGCACATGACTGGTTGAAGATATTATCGTCATGCAATATTTACATTATTCCTTGAGTCTAGTCGACTTACCCTTTACAGTTTTCTATTTTATGTCGAGCAAAGCTCCTGATGTTGATCATTCAAATGAAAGGATTCTATGGAAAATTCTCTCCCTTATACCATCCAAATGTAAAATATGAAAGTGACTGACATATATCTCACAGTCGTTAACTTTGATTCGACCCTGAAATTTTAATAAAAGTCAACTTATTTGATCCTGTTTCATATTTATTTGTTACAACAGGCACGTAGCATCGTTTTTGAAAGTGGGGGGGGGGGCAACCAGAGAAATTTTTTTTTTACTTACCTGTAAAAGTTGACAAGCAAAAAAAAAAAAAAAAAGAAATTTGGCCAAACTCGAAAATCAAAGTAGCCAACTTTTTAGTGGCCCCCCCCCCCCCTGTTGCTACGTCCCTGTATATAAGGTAACCGGCAATCAAATCAAATTGCTGGGTGTATGTTCGATCCTGTTACATGTAAACCGTATGTATCGTTTGAGAGTTTGATTAAAGATTCCCACTCAGTTTTTAAGGCACCTAACATTTCGTAATTTAAATTTCATATGAAAACGGTTTATTTGCAACTTTTTCTAAAGGCTTTATTGGCAGTTAACCTTGCACATGTCCATTCTTTTTCAGGGCTGCTACGACGCTTTTTATAATCTTATTATGAAATACTCGATCTACTACATTGCCGTTGGAGTAACAATACTTATAGTCGAGGTAAGATTAGATTTGAAATAAAACTGCAATGTTAATTAAAATAATATACATGCAGGTTAATGAAGACGTCTTTGATATCTATAAATTGTATATGAATTATTGGTTTTATCTTAGAAACAATTTTTTTTTCTTTTTTCAGGTCCTAGGGGTTATATTTGCCTGCTGTATGTGCAAAAAAATCGGCAAGACGGAAAACGGAAAAGTTTAAGGGACAACTGAAGGAGAGAATGTTGCAACCTCTTTAAGAAATTCAGTGTATCTGTGATAAATTTATTATATTCTTTTGAATAATATAACAGACGATATTATTTACATCACATTGTTACTGAAATTTGTTTCAATAAATATTTTTTAACAATTGCATCAAGCGATATTGAATGAGAAAGAATGCTACATCTCACAATTTGTTGTGGTCATTATAGCAAAATTACTTGCGTAATTTCGGAGAATTAACAAAAAAATTGTTATATATCGTAAAAAACAAGTATATATACGAGGGGCGTTCAATAAATAATGTCATTAGCTCGATGACATACAACATAGTAGTCATATGACATAAAGCTTGACTTTCTCTCATTATTGAATCTTTAATGAATTTATAACAGTTTATGTGACCACTTTTCATCACATAGTTTTATCGTGAGAAGCTGGGAAACAAGGGCTATTCGAGACACTGCATTATAAATGAATGTTAAAGAATCAGTAAACTAAAGTGAAAATAAAAGCTACATTAAAGCTGCTGTAAAACTTGTAAAAAATCCCAAAGAAATATTCACTGAAATATGTGATATTTACAGCAACCGATGCCTGTTTTATGGACAAATTAGCAGGTGGATTTCAATGATAAAAAATTATATAATGGGCATCAAAAATGGGTACCCTCCTTGCCAACAAAAATTATAATAACTTATGTACTGTTTGCCAAATTTCAACAAATAATATTTGATCTTGTATGAATGACTTTAAGACACATAGCAAATTTGATAGACATTATATCGGGAGTAGTTTACACTGTTTTAAAGAAACGTTCGACAGTAATTAAGCTTGGTACTCTAAGGTCACCCTGTATTTTGAAAAATGAGTGAAAACGACAGCCTGTACCAAAGTCTTAACAATTATTTTAAAATATCAGTAATTGTAGTAATCCACGTTTGTTTTTTATTCAGACAGATATTGGAACATGAATCTATTGCTTAAAACCATTAAAACAAAATTTAACATAAGATGTACTTGATAAAAACGGCGAAGGTCTGTCAAGAGCAAAGGTCTGCAAGAGCGGAAAAACAGATTATTATGCAATTTCCTTAAATATGAGTGGTATTATTGTTCAAATTCGTATTTGGGGAGACAGTTTAATATCTGGAGGTGTCTACAAAGCAGTTTTTTTGCAAAGAAATCGAAAGGTTTATCAGAGAAAGGACCCAGAATCAGGAATCCTTCTTCATGACAGCGTTCAAACCCGCATGCTCTAAAGAGTAAAGGGGTTTACGGGATAAACAGAAAGTTAATGTTTTTTCACATTAAAAATATTTGCCAGATCTTTGACCTTTTTACTTGTTTCTATTTCCAAACTGGAAAAAAACACCTATCAGAAGGAAAAAACAAGTCCAGGAAATCATTGGATCTGCCATTTTCCAGTATACTAAGGGTCATACCCAAGAATGAGTTCTAAAAACAATCAGAAATTGGATAAAAAATGTTACGGACATGTGTTTGAATTAAAAGAGATTAATAAGTAAAATCATGAAGACTAAATCATTGAAAAGCGTCGTTTGCTTCTTTCTGAGCCCCAGTGACATTATTTATTGAACGCCCCTCGTACATTCGTGTAATTTAAGATTTTTTTCGTTATTGTAAAATATGTACATTTTTGATTTTAAACTTTAAATATATGGCACATTGTATAAAACAAATGTTAAACATACATAGTACATGTTTAGCTTCAAAGAATTGTCAAAAGAGAAAAAACAAAGATGGATCACAATTTGGATCAAGCTACTGAGACAAAAAGTGCACTACGGTTGATTTTCTGGACGGAATAAAGCATTTACGGACACACACAGTCGTTCATTTTCCCGCTACACCATTTTGGCAGCTCCGGATAATCCCGTTCCGTCCTCGCCTCCGTTCTTTATGATTATGATGGCCCCAACGAACGCAACAATCTGCAGGACAAAAATTATCAAATTTATATTTTCAGTATTTTGTCTACCTCAACAAATGATAAAAGCAAAAAGACAACAACAAATATTCAAAAAAGTAAAATTTCAACCCTAGTGATAAGGAACACGTACCCCAAATTAAACTCTAACATGATAAATAAACTTAACTTGACCTTTGACCTTTTCAGCTCAAAAACAGTAGCTATGTCTTTTTAGGCTATGTATACGGGGTTGTGATAAAATATTTTATTTATAAAATCTCGGAGAAAACTTGAGATATAATCTGGAAACTGTTATTTGCATTGTATGAATTTATTACCTTAACCTTTGATTTTGATCTCAATACCAAATGGGGTATTGTTTAGGCCATAAGTTTGGACTCTGAAGTGTTACACACTGTCAGATAGTGTTAATTTCTGACCTACATCTTTGATCTCAAAGTCAATACAGATCTTACTATTGAGTTGTGATCAAATATCATTGCAAAAGATCGGCTTTCTGAGATATCGTCATGAAACGAAAGTGTTACACACAGTGCAAGAGTAAAAAATTAATAGCAAGCTTTGTTATGATGAATAATAATAATCCTGTTCACAATATCGTTTCATATTTCCCCTATGTTTTTGTAATTTGAAGTTGAAGAAATTGACAGCCTTAGAACTTAAAACTTCTTCTCTTTAGAAATCGTTAATTCAATGTATAAGTAATGAATTAACAATTAGTATTAAAAAAGTCAGTCAGCATTTGACTTGATGATAAATTGTATTTGCTGACTTTCACATGGTCGTTGTATCGACCATAGAACTTACGAAATGATGACTTTAAACGAGACTGCTGATATTCTTCCTTCATCAACTTGCATGCTTGTCAATAATTTACCTCGTTTTAGAAATTGTTCATATGTAGAGCATGCTCTTGTGTATCGAATCAACTGAGATATATGCACTCCGTATGCAGGTGATGAAGGTTAAATATTGCTGCATAAGTAAGGGAAGTTGACGATAGAAAAGTTAAAACCATCACGTTTATCATAAAGCTTAGTTGTTAGATTACCATTAGTGTCTTTTTCAAGTAAAATATCCAAGTATGAAACAGATGAGTCAGACTCAGTGGTATCTTTTACCTCAAGCTTTCCAGGATATATCGTATCGATGTAGGAATGGAAATTACCATGATTGTTAATTGACAATACGTCGTCGATATATCTAAATATCGAGTTGAAGGCCACAGCAAGTTTTTTCTTCTTTTCACGCATAAGATTTTGCACAAATTCTGCTTCAAATGAATACAAAAATAGGTCTGTTAATTACGGAGCGCAATTGGTACCCATGGGAATTCCAATAGATTTGTTGGAAGACCTGGTCTCCAAAATCCACATAGATATTGTCAATCAGAAACTCGAGCATCTTTTTGAGATCAACTTCAGAGTACTTGTGTGTGCAATCAGAATGTGTTTTAACAAAATAATTTTGCAAATGACCAGGTAAGTAAACTTATGAGTTCCATTTTTATTGAAAAACAGCTGTTAATGATATCAAAAAGCCTTGACTTTAATTTATCGTGGGGAATGGTTGTGTATAAAGTTGAAAAGTCGTAAGTTTTTAAGCTGTTGATTTTGGTAAAATCTTGTGATTTCAAATTATCCAAAAGTTCCTTGGAATTTTTGAGTATCCACATCTGATTTACAACACTTCGTCAATGTATATATTGTTGCACAGTCATCTTGGAAGTTTCTCCTTCACCACTGTTAATATCTTAGTGAGAAGTAAAGAAAGATGCTTGATTGAACATTTATTGGAACCCGCTATGTATCTGTGTTTGTAAGAATTCTTATGAAGTTTCGGAATCTATTACACATGTAGTTCAAAATGATTTTAATTCTTTGGTATATTAAATTATTTCTTATCCTGATAGGATAAAGATCCCGATCTAACTCTTATCTCGACAGGATAAAAATACTGATCTAATTCTTACTTCTACTAACAGGGTAAATATCCTGATCTAATTCTTACCTCGACTAAGAGGTAAAATATCCTGATCTAATTCTTACCTCGACTAACAGGGTAAATATACTGATCTAATTCTTACCTCGACTAACAGGGTAAATATCCTGATCTAATTCTTACCTCTACTAACAGGGTAAATATCCTGATCTAATTCTTACCTCTACTAACAGGTTAAAGATCCTGATCTAATTCTTACCTGGACTAACAGGGTAAATATCCTGATCTTATTCTTACCTCGACTAACAGGGTAAATATACTGATCTAATTCTTACCTCGACTAACAGGGTAAATATACTGATCTAATTCTTACCTCTACTAACAGGGTAAATATCCTGATCTAATTCTTACCTCGACTAACAGGTTAAATATCCTGATCTAATTCTTACCTCGACTAACAGGGTAAAAATACTGATCTTATTCTTACCTCGACTAACAGGGTAAATATCCTGATCTAATTCTTACCTCGACTAACAGGGTTAATATCCTGATCCTGTTCTTACCTCGACTAACAGGTTAAATATCCTGATCTAATTCTTACCTCGACTAACAGGTTAAATATCCTGATCTAATTCTTAACTCGACTAACAGGGTAAATATACTGATCTAATTCTTACCTCGACTAACAGGGTAAGTATCCTGATCTTATTCTTACCTCGACTAACAGGGTAAATATCCTGATCTAATTCTTACCTGGACTAACAGGGTAAATATCCTGATCTTATTCTTACCTCGACTAACAGGGTAAATATCCTGATCTAATTCTTACCTCTACTAACAGGTTAAAGATCCTGATCTAATTCTTACCTCTACTAACAGGGTAAATATACTGATCTAATTCTTACCTCTACTAACAGGGTAAATATCCTGATCTAATTCTTACCTCGACTAACAGGTTAAATATCCTGATCTAATTCTTACCTCGACTAACAGGGTAAAAATACTGATCTTATTCTTACCTCGACTAACAGGGTAAATATCCTGATCTAATTCTTACCTCGACTAACAGGGTAAATATCCTGATCCTATTCTTACCTCGACTAACAGGGTAAATATCCTGATCTAATTCTTACCTCGACTAACAGGTTAAATATACTGATCTAATTCTTACCTCGACTAACAGGGTAAGTATCCTGATCTTATTCTTACCTCTACTAACAGGGTAAATATCCTGATCTAATTCTTACCTGGACTAACAGGGTAAATATCCTGATCTTATTCTTACCTCGACTAACAGGGTAAATATCCTGATCTAATTCTTACCTC